TTCAAGCTTTTTTAAAAAAAAGATTTATTTGTTGTTGTTAAGTACCGTGGAGTTAGTTTCAACTCACAGTGACCCTGCACAGGGTTTCTGAGGCTGTAAATCTTTATGGAAGCAGAAAGCCTCATCTTTTTCCTGCAGAACAACTGGCAGTTTTGAACTGCCGATCTTGAGGTTAGCAGCTTTGCTACCAGAGCTCCTTTAGAGCTTTATATAAGAGAAATTACCTAAGGACTTACAATTCTTTCTTTCTTTTTTAAGTTTTATTGTGAATTGAGTGATAGTTTACATGGGAGAACATTGGGTTTACACATCATTTCATTACAATGATTACAATCTCTTCTGTGCATCATCATTCAACAGTATTTGCTTCTATTCCCTCCGGGTTTTTTGGGTGCGGGGGATATACACAAAGACGCTCAGGAATGTATAATCATTTAAACAACCAAAAGGCACATTCTACAAGCCTGCCTCCTGGCTGCTAGTACACAGCCTCTCTCTATGAGTCCAGAGTCCTCAGCTGCTCTATCTCTCCAAGTCCCCATCGCTGCCTCCATCTCTGGTATTGTTGTTTCTTTGGATAGGGTCCCACATATCACTTGTGCTCTTCTCCCTTGATGGTCCTACACTTGTAAGTTTTTAAGACCCTAACAAACAACAAACTAAGAGATAGAACAGAAGCACTAAACATGTTACAGAATAAAACTATTTAAAAGAAGATTTCAAAAATATATACAATGACAGGTTTGATAAGGACAGGCAACTTAGATACTGGCTACCTAAAATGAGGGTGATAAAGGCATGAAGTGACTGGCTTATAATTTTGCAAGAGAGAGTTTAGTTTCAGAGTGTGTGGGGAAAGGTAGAGTCCCAATGAATAGTTTTCATCTTGTCTAGATGGGTCTGGTTAAAAGAGATGGAGATAAGATTCTTATGATTCAATAGTGAGTAATTGTTACCATGACTAATGTGACTGTCACAACTGTAAAGGTAGAAGTTTTATTTTACAAAAAGGGGAGAGTAGTTAATCTTACAGTCCAGGAACACAGGACCCTAGGACCATCAAGGGAGAAGAGCACTAATGGAATGTGGGACCCTATAGAGAGAGGCAGCGACACTAGAGATGGAGGCAGAGATGACAACATGGAGAGAGGGAGCAGCTAAGGACTCATGGAAAGAGAAAGACTGAGTGGTGGTGGCCAGGAAGCAGGCTTACAGAATGTGCCATTTGTTTGTTTAAATTTTTATATATTCCTGAGTGATTTTGTGTACATACCTGCTCCCCACAAAAAACAGGGAATAGAAGCAAATACTGTTGAATGATGACGCACAGAGGAGATTGTAATCATTGCAGTGAAACGATGAGTGTAAAACCGATGTTCTCCCATGTAAACTATCACTCGATTCACAATAAAAACTTAAATATATATATGCAATAAAAGTAATATGCAATATATGCAATGTGCAATATATGCAATAAAATATATGAAAATTCCTTGCAAATATACAAAAGGTATAAAATTAAAGTAAGGCATCTTTACCTGCATCCAGTCCCATTCCCCAGAGGGAACTATGTTAATAGTTTATCTGTCATTCCCATTAAAAAAAAAAAAAAATCTATGCCTATATATCAATGTGTATATAAAATTAGGACTTCTGGTGTGGCACTGAAGGATCAGCTCTGGACTACGAACTACAAGGTTGACAGTTCAAACCCACCAACTGCTCCTCAGAAAACCCTATACAGGGTTGCTATGAGTCAGAATCAACTTGATGGTACTTAACAACAACATATAACTGTAAATGATGCAATTAATGAAAATATAAATTCACCTAGAACCTTATTATTGAAATTATGGTAACATTTAGTCATTAGATGTTTTATTCTATGCTAATAGAACTTACTGCTATGTAGGAATTAGTATATGTCTATGTATATCCTTTTCTTCCCATACACATATGGGATTATACTTTACATCATTTAACATTATCTCTTGGGTGTTTTGTTTATCTTTTTTCCTTTTTAAAAAAAGATAATTCAAAAACCATTTATTATATATCAAGCTGTAAACAGAAATCTTAAATCATATTACAAGTGAACACAAATATGAAATCAATGCCAAGATGGAAGTGTTTTGGAGCCATAATGTAGAATTTATTTAAGATGTTCTGATCATTTTTATTCTAATCAGTATTAAAAAAAAATCAATGGTAAATTGTTGAATTAAATAAACCAGATGAGAGTCTAATTGTTCCCCAGTTGACCTCCAGTCAGCTATTATTTTGCCCTTTCCTCATTTTAATTACTCACTTTCATTATTGTTGTTATTAAGTGCCATTGAGTCAGGGGTGGACAACACTTATTTTCAAAGCTCAAGATGACCTAAGAATCTTTTAGTTGTTGTTATTTTTAATCGTGGCACCGGTCTTCCCAGCTCATGTCAGTTTTTGCATGAATAATAGTGCATTTCTATCATCAATTGCTTTCCATGCATGAACCAACAACTTCAAGCCATCACAGACTATCCACAACAACTAAACACAGTTCTGGCAGCTACTCTCCCAGCCACATGGTCCCCCAGGTCTACAGCCATGATTTGGTTCACATGGATTCTTTGTTCTCTGTCCTAGCCATTCACAAAGAAAGGAATAAAACTTTATTCTTTAAAAACTCTACACACAAGCAAGATGCTGAAAAAGCCCTTGCCATCTCTGACAAAAAACAGAGCAGCTCTAATTCATAATGACAGCAAAAATAATTTTTTTAATCCCTTTTACTATACACTCTCAAATATTTTTTTCTTACCCACATATACAAGTATAACTCTTCCTCATTCTTTCAAACAACTGCACAGTATTCCTTTTTGCTATGTTACAATGCATTCCTGTTGATGGATAGTTGAGACATTTCCAGTTTATGCTATTACAAATATCGCTGTAATGAATATATTTCATATGGATATAAGTTTTGCACATTTGTAGGCTAAGTCCTAGAAGTGAGAAGTGAGATTACTGAATAAAAGAATGTGTGCACTTTACATTTTGATAGTATCAAATTATCCTCCAGAGAAGTGGTGTTGTGGGTTAATGTGCTGGACTGCAAAGTCGGCTTGAACAGCAATATTGGTGGTTCAAGCTCATTAGTCACTCCTTGGAAACCCTATACAGGGTCGCTATGAATCAGAAACAACTCAACAGCACTTAACAACAACGACAAACACCATACATCACCCTAGGAGTCCTGTGGAGTCCTGTGGGTTAATGCCGTAGACTGCAAAGTTGGTTTGAACTGCAACATTGATGGTTTGAACTGCAAGGCTGGTGGTTCAAGCTCACCAGTCACTCCTTGGGAACCCTATACAGGATCACTATGGGCAGGAATGGACTCGATGACACTTAACAATCACACTTGCCCCTATGTGTATGGAGGTTGGGGCAGGGAGGAGGGTTCATTCTCCCAAACAGGCCCCAACATCATACTGACCTTAAAAGTCATTGACAATTATATAGGTAAACATGATATCTTACTTTGTTGTGAATGATGTTGAACATTTTTAACATATAATTGACTATTTTAAATTTATATTCCTGTTCCTTCTCTTTCCTATTTTTCTCTTTTGGTTTTCTTATGAGGTATAACATCACATTGATTTATAATGTCCTTTATTTTTATATATTTATTTTTTGAATGGTTCTTTTTAGTTTATTGCATGAAGGAGTTACACTGGTCCAAGTTAAAAGTGGACCCCACATGGTTACATTATACAAGCTGTGAGGTTTTAAACTTGTGTGACAAGGGACTGAGGGAAATTTCTAGTCATTGCAAGGAAATCCTCATTTACAGCTTCAGTGAGCTACAAGCACTTAAAACCCAGGAACCTTCAGCTGGTGGTCCTTAGCCAGTCCAATCTCTACAAGGAACTGGCATGTGTTCTTGCGCTGGTCACCCTGTAACTGAATGACTTCTCCATATTCCGCAGGCAAATTTCTTCTTAAACGCCTTCACTAATTTCTTTTTATCGTAACCATCAGCGATCCCTTGGACAGTAAAGTGTCTTCTTGCTGTTTCTCTGTTGAATTCTTATATGGATATAATCCTCAGTCCCAGCAGCAAGCAGGTCATCACTCTTACTTGCATCAGCAAAGGGGTAGAAAGAGTGGCGGTTCTAAACAGCGCACAAACGATCCGATTCCTTTTCCTCTGTCCAAACTGCCTGCCGAAGTCAGCGGCGGGACAGGGACTTGGGCAGCGAGGAACGGAGCGTCGGGAGGCGAAGAGCGAGGGGGCTGGAGGGGGAAGCTGCTGAGTCCTCGGCGGCGGCTCAGTAACTGGGGGTGTAATGTCCTTTAGCAGAAAGGAATACTTTGTGTATCATGGAAATTTTTCTTTTTCTTTTGCGGGAGTTTAAAATGTTTATGTATTTATATTTACCTCTTTCTCTTTATAACTTCTTTACCACTCTACTCTTTAGATTTTTTTTTAACCCTACAGTTTCTTCTCTCGTGACTACTTTTGTTTTATTGTGATGAAAATATGCCCATTAAAACGTCCCAGCATAACATCTTCCACATTTGCAATTCATTGACATTGATACTACTATCTATATGTTTCCAAACATTTCCACCACCATCAACATAAACTCAGTGTGGTTTTACTTTTTAGGTCAGAACGTTTGCGCTAACTGAAATTGATAGAAGCTAAGCTCTGGTAGCGTAGTGGTTACGAATCGGGCTGCGAACCTTAAGGTCAGCGGTTCAAAACTACCAGCCGCTCCGCTGAGAAAGATGAGGCTTTCTACTCCTGTAAGGATTTACACCCTCGGAAACTCTGTACAGGGTCGCTATGGGTCGGAACCGACTCGATGGCACTTAACAACAACAACAACAAGGATTTACACCCTCGGAAACTCTGTACAGGGTCGCTATGGGTCGGAACCGACTCGACGGCACTTAACAACAACAACAACAACCACTAACAAATCCTGCCCGACTCCGTCACTTACCGGCCTTAGCACTCTGCACACCTCTCGGAGTATCTGCTCTTGGTTATCCACGGAGCACAGGACGAGAGTGCAAACCACCACATCCACAGAGCCATCGGCTATCTGGTGCATGTTCTCCCCGGCAGACACCACGAAGCGCTCGAACTGTAGATGTCGATTCTCTGCGACGCTCTTGATCAAGAACTTCTCAAAGTTGGGGTTGGGATCAATACAGGACACCCTACATCCAGGCGGGTAGAACTTGAAGTTGGCCCCTGTGCCACAGCCCACCTCCAGCAGGGAGAGCTTTCCAGAGGGGCCTGCAAACTCCTGCAGGTTGCTGAAAAGCTCCCGCTTCTTGCTCGCCATCTGTTCGTTGTACATGACGGTGAATTTCACCATGAAGTAGGGGAAGAATTGCTTGATTATCCAACTCCATATGCCAAGAAAGTTCAGTAGGTACATGGGAAATGCCAGGATGCCAACAGCCAGCCTGAGAATGAAAATGGTAAAGGCCATCTCTCCAGAAGAGGAAAAAACAGCAAGTTAAGAGATCTGACACCTTAAATTGTAGGACTAGGCTTCTGGCCACACTCCAGAGCCAATCAGCTGCGGAAGCCAAAAAGAACTGGCAGTGCTGGATAAACGCTGCTCAAGTCAAGCTATGGGCAAGAGGCCCATTTTTCCCAATTAATAGTCTGGCAAAAGTTGGTTCGGTAGTGAAATGAAAAGGGTTTCCTTAGACCGAAACCTTTCTTGCTTCCTCTTCCCTGTCGCTGGAGGCTATGGCTGTTCTCTTAGGAGCGTCACATGTACTCTGCACTTCAACCCCACTCTGCCGCGGTACAAAGATCTCTAAACAAACAACAATCTGTGGGTGGAGCCTAGTTAAACCACACGCCCACTGCCAAGGCCTCTTATCACACCACGCCCCCTTCCTCCCTCCCAGGACTCCACTTCCCCTAAACCCCACTCACCGGTTTCTTAAAACAGTGGAAGTCCATCTGTGCCTTTTCTCTCACAGTCCACAAGCATTCCCGCTTTGTGTTCTGGTCGGAGGCTCTCAGATGTTCGTATCTCCACAACAACATTATTTTTACTTCACTGTTTTGGCACAACTATCTTTTAAAAGAAAAGTCTCATACTTCAAACTGTGTCCAATAGCTACACTATTCAGCTAATTTAGATAAACATCGTTTTCATAATATTCACATTTGGGAACCTAAAGTATTCAGAAAATAGTTTCAAACATGTATCTGTTTTTAACAAGAAAGCTGAGGCTTTAGCATGACAGGGGCTAGTAAATAGCATTTACTATTTAAAACTGGGTGATGGATACAGGGCGTATACTGTTGTTTCCTTATTAGTTAATACCTTCCTTGCACACTTTTAATGAATACAATTTAAAATATCAATTTTTAAAGAACTTTTTTTGAGGCAGAGGTAACATACAACAAACTGTACATACTAAAAGTGTACATACAGTTTGATGAATTTTGACAAATGCATAATATCCCCAGGAAACTTAGCCCCACAATCCTGGTGACATATCCTTTAGCCTTGACAGCTTCTTTTTGCCCCTTTACCCCTTAACCCCACCACTCTTCTGTCAGTTGGTTGTACTATAGTGGCTTGTGTGTTGCTGTGATTCTGGAAGCTATGCCACAAGTATTTTAAATACCATCAGGGTCACCCACGGTGGACAGGTGTCAGGTGAGGTATCAGCTGAGCTTCCAGATGAAGACAAACTAGGAAGAGGGAGAGACGGACTACTTCTGAATATGTACTCACTGAAAACCTTATGAATAGCAATGACGCACTGTCAGCACCACAATAGTGAATACTGAAACACGATGAAAAACACAGAATATTGTCAGATACAGTTCCTGATAATGAGCCCCTCAGATTGGAATGCACTCAAAATACAACTGGGGAAGATCTGCCTCCTCAAAGTAGAGTTGACTGTGATGACACGAATGGAGTAAAGCCCTCAGGACCTTCGTTTGCTGATGGGGCACAACTCAAAATGAAGAGAAACAGCTGTAAACATCCATTGAAAATCGGAACATGGAATGTACACAGTCAAATGTTATAACAAAATGTCCAAAGACCTGGATTTAGA